ATCAGTTAATGGCAGGCTAATCATTACCCAAGTGTAAGTATTCACCTTCACTTTGGCTGTTCCAATTTCTTAACATCAGTTCATCCTTTACTCACTGCTCCCTGGCCATGCTACTTACTTTAGGAACCAACAAATCAGTGTTCATTCCAAAGATGTTGGCCTCATCTCAGTTGGTATTTCTTCTGATGTGAATACAGTGGGTGAAAAACAGCCACCATAGTAGAAATTATTACCAACTGCAGATCATTGAGAAATAATGTGAGATAGCTTTCCACTTATCAGTTACACTGATTTCTGTCATGTCTTGGAACCCCCTGGAGGTTAGGTTCTTAGTGGATGAGTTCACCGCAGGTCAGTACACAGCAGAGAAGGACATGGACATCTGTCTTCAAGTTTGCAAACTTTTTGATGCCTTCAGCTAATCCCCCTTAACCCTGGGGTTATAGTTTCTGGTCTTGAGTGTGTTTATTCCAGAGAGTCTCTTTCTATACAATGATTCTTCATTTGTTTTTGTTTCCTTTCCAGAAACTATAAAGCCAAAAACAATCAGCATCACCAAGTAGATTTTAATCTTCATTTGTTTTACAGGAGACCAGACAGAGGATTAAAGGAACTTGCTAGAAAAGGGAGACATATTTCCTGATGGGTGCTGCTTTAAGGAGATTAAAAAAAATGATGATCTGGGTGATGTTCCTTTCCACTTTTAATTAGATGAGGAAGAAGCTATCAAAAGGCTAATGATTCCCCAAGTGCTTTGGATATAAACTGTTTAACGCTGGTCAACACAAAATCAAATAAAAAACATATAGTCATATTTGTAGCTTGCCCTCTTCAATGTTTTCAACAAAGTAGTGGTTCTCAGGATGGGATCTTCAGACCCACAGAATCAGTATTACCAGGGAAACTGGTTAGAGATGCAACTTTTCAGGCCTAACCCAGACTCATTAAATCTGACCCTCTGGGGGAGTAGAGTTCAATAATTTGAGCCTAAAGAAACCCTCCTAGTGATTCTGATGTATGATAAAGTTTGAGAACCACTGTCTTAACAAAAAAATAATTTCTGTAAAAAAATTTTTATTTGAAAGGCAGAGACAGAGAGAGAGAGAGAAAGATCTAACATCCTCTGGTTCACTCCCCAAATGGCCACAACAGCCCAGGCCAGGCCAACCCAATAGCCAGGAGCTCCATCTTGGTCTTGCACATGGGTGGCAGGGGCCCAAGTACTTGGTTAATCTTCCACTGCTTTCCCAGACACATTATCAGGGAGCTGAATCAGAAAGGGAGTAGCTGGAATTTGAACTGACGCCCCTATGGAATGCTGATTTTGTAGGCAGCAGCTTAACCAGCTGCACTACAAAGCTGGCCCCGAAAATATAATTTCTTTAGAGAAAGAAGATGGAGTAGAGCAGGATAAATAAAATATTCTTGACCTAATACCTAGATTGTAATAGAGAACACCTTTTGAGACTCCAGTACTTATTGCAAAAAAGTGTTCTGGGGGTTTTATTTTACTGAGAATCATCACTAGATGAGAATCATAACTTACTTCTTTTTTTAGAAAAAGCTACTAAAATGCTAAATAAGGAAGAGTGCTGATAGTGTTCAATTATTTAGAATAATGGTTGATGCTTCTCTCTGCACCACTGTCCACTCTTGCAGTGCTGTGCTCTACTTTAAGTGCTTGGTAAGGGAAGCATTAATAAGCTGTGGAAGGATAATTAAGATGTTGACAGGTCTAGTAATAAAACCCTTGTAGTAACTGGGTTATCATTCTGGAAAACTTGAAGCACCAACACAGTGTATCAGTCATCATATTGAGGGGGAGGCTGCCTTAGTTCAACACTAAGGACCCTTTTCTATGATCATACAAAAAATTAATACCATAAACAGTCCAAACATAATAAGAATAGAAATGCTGTTGTGTGACTAGTATGGATAGGCTTGGGATGGAGAGGTAGGGAGAAGGTTTGCAGCTCTTTGCTATGCAAATAGAAAAATCACTCATCGTGAAGCCAAGGTCATTGCATTCTTTTTGCACCTGTGCTCATTCTACAGAAATCCATGAGAATGATGGTGTGGGCATCTGGCCCAGTGGTCAAGCTATTAGGATGCTTGTGTCCCTTGTCTGAGTGACTGATTTCCACACCTGGCTCCAGCTCCTAATTCTAGCTTCCTATCAATGCAGACCCTGGGAGTAGCAGTGATGGCTCAAGGAATCGGATTCCTACCACCAATATGGAAGACCTGGATTGAGTTTCAAATTCCTGGCTTCAAATCTCCCGCCCCCACCCCCACCCCCACCAACTCCCACCCCACAGCTGTTTAGGGCATTTGGTGAATGAATGAGTGGATGGGAGCTCTTTCTCTCTCTGTCTCACTTTGTCTCCCAAATGAATTTAAAAAAAAAAAATCTGAACTCTGTTTCTAAAGCCTGTGAGTGACTGATTCAACAAGGAATAGGAAAATAGGGGATGTAATTTATTATTTTTTTTAATGATGCCCTTAGTTTCTAAAAGCACAAAGGCTGTGGACAATGTATTTTACTGCTCAGGGCTTTCATGTGGCAAGTCCTCTTTATAGACCCAATCTTCTATCAATGATCTTTAATAAAGAAAGAACATGTTCTGTTACGTTATTCTGATGTCAGACGATAAATTCTAAGAGAACAAATGTAAACAGTTGAAAGATAGTGCACTGATGTTACAGACATCTCAAGATGCAAAGGATATAATCCTTCAGACTATGACAGTGGACATTCAGCACACCCTATGGCTTAGATAAACCACAGAAACTCAGTCGATTAGAGAACAGTGTCTATAAGATGGTAAATGCCATTGTAAAAGTCATTAAGATTACTAAATTCGATACCCAAAGAAGAGAGAAGAGACATGCAGTGAAAATATTTCCAGGTTTGAACTCTGGTTCAAAATCAAGGAACCAGATTGCATACCTAATTTAGTAGAAATCTGAACGCAAATCTAATGAAGATATTTTGAGATGAGCACTTGGCACAGCAATTAAGATGCAATTTGGGACACCTCCATCCCATATCAGAGTGCCTAAGTTCAAGTCCCATCTCTACTTCCAATTCCAGATTTCTGCTAATACACACCTTAAGAGGCAACAGGTGATGGTTCAATTACTTGGATTCCTGATACTCCACAGGCGACATGAACTGAGTTCCTGGCTGCTGGCTTTGGAAAGGTTCCGGCCCTGGTTGTTGTATTTGGAGAGGGAGTAAACCAATGGATGGGAGATTCTCTCTCTCTCTCTCTATTCCTCTCTCTCTCTCTCGCTCTCTCTCAAACAAATAAACTTATAAAAAAGAAAATAAGAAAAAAATTTCTTGCTTCCAAAGACATATATGCATATATGTCCCCACTGCCCCGCAGAGTCACAGGTATTCTAATACTCATGGAAATAAACTGCTGTGGGAAGAAGAGAGGCTTAGGCTGTGTCACCACAGTTTATGTTTCAAGCCAAGAGAAATCCTTTCCCTCCCTTGAAAAGTGAATTTACAGAGCAAAGTAGAAAATAAAGGAAACCTGGACCCTTTAAATCTGGGAGAATGAAGATATGTTTTTCTTTAACATCTTCTTTCATGTCCTTATATTCTACTATGTGCTAGAATTCTGCCAAGAACTGGGCATGTGGTGTTGAACAAAGGACTTTGGCTCCATGACTTCATGAACCTAATAATTTAGAGGGAGAGACAGATATGAAATGGATATACAATTATAAATTATGGTGAATGCTGAAAAAACAGGGGAGAAAAAAGCAAGAGCTGAAATTAATGTGTCAGGGAAGGTCTCCCTGAGCAAGTAAGATGTTGGCTGAACTCTAAAGGATGAGTAAGAGCCAACCAGAAGGGAAAGAAGAGCACACCCTGGGCAGCAATAATGGCCAGAAAGCACAGGTCTTGAAAAATGTCTTCCCATCCAAGATAAAAAAGCAAATTTCTCTTAATCTAAAGCATGTTGCTTGTGTGTCATTTGTCTCCTTCAAATATAAAATTCTGTAGGTAGAATTATTGAAAACAATGCAACATAGCAGAATATAATTACCACAAGGCAAAAAGAGCTATTAGCTCTTAAGGCTGTGTATGAGAAAAGTCGGTATCTCCTGATGGTTCTTAACAGACTATATCACTCTTGAGCAGCTCAGAAAGAAAAGATTGGTTGTCTCGTGGCTTGAGCTCTGAGTTGTCTATTTTTGGAAGACAGAACCATTATTCCAAGTCTCTGCTATGAAACCTCCCATGCCAGGCAAGTCAGATGATGTCAGTGATCTTAATCTGCTGGCAAACCCAGCAACCCAGTCTTTTAAAGCACTAAATGTCCAGGGTGGATATTCAGCCTAGCGGTTAGGATACCAATTGAGAAGCGCACAGCTCACTTCCTGGCTTCAGCACCTTATTCCGGCTCCCCACCTTGGGAGGCAACAAGTGAAGACTCAAGTGATTGAGTCCCTGCCACCCATGTGGGACACCCAGATGACGTTCCCAGCTCCCAGCTGCAGCCCTATTGGGTAACTGGAAGGTTAATTAGCCAATGGGAGCACTCTGTTTTTCTGCCTCTCTCTTTTTCTCTGCCTCCCCTGCCCAGTTGCCCTAAAGCATAATAATTGCTTGCTAACTTTCACACCAAACCAGAGTAGGTGTTGAACTCAGCCTTCTTTGTCCCAGACTTCTGGCAGGTGTTTTCACCTATTGGGGATCCCTAAGCACATGAACCTCAATTACGCCACATAGACCCCATAGGCTATGTCATCACTTCTAGAGGTTCTAGGTCCTTTAGAACAACACCCATCTCCAGCTTCCACTCAAGAATGAAACACTGACAGGAAACCTGAAGATCTTTTGTTCCGGTGACTACTTCTAGATGATCCCAGAGTATTAACGGAAGCATGGACTTCTGAACAATTTGCTCCTCCCTCAAGGCCATGATAGCACCCTAGTCTTTGTGGTGAGATTTCACCACTTTAGGTCCCCAAAGTCCCTTCTCCCCAGCTCTGCATGGGTTCCCCAACAGTCAAAGTTAGTCAGTTCCTCTGAGAAATCTATCCTTGAGTTTTTCCATAGTTTAAAAAATGGTAATAACCCACCACCACCACCACCCTCTTTTCATTTAGGAAGTGATCACCAGGTGACAAAGAGTATTCAATTTATATGCCTGGTCCAATTATTCCTATCTTGTGAAAAGATCCCCATTTTACATATGATGAAACAGAAACAGAGAAAAGATACAGACTTGTTTGAATTTGATCCAAAGCCTAGGCTCTAACCACTAAATTTCAAGGGCAATCTGATTCCAATTTCTGTTCTTAGGTCTGCATTCCTTAATGACTTTGATGACACATAAATCACGGAGAACCTAGTTTCAAATGAATGGCCAGACTCTGCAGCACACTGATTGGATTTCTGCTAGAGCAGATGGACGATACCAGTAGACTGACAGGTATGTGGCCTGCCCCAGCTTGCTGCTATAATGCAGCCTAAGACTACGGTGCTCCAGAGTGTCCAACATCAATCCAGCCTGAGCAGCAGGCTGGGCACTAAGAGTCAGGGCTGAGGCTGGGTGATTGTCTTCATAGACTTGCTAGGAGGAGACAAGCAAGCAATTACAAGTCAGTAAATAGTAACCATTACCATTCCATCTTCACACTTTCTTCTAATTTCCTATAGCTCTCTCAGGACCTATTATAAAACAACTTCCTATCCCAGTTCCAACAGAGCACCTTGAGTAGGAAAAGCCTATGACAATATCCCTGTTTATTCAACACACATCAGGTTCCTACCTAGCCATTCCAAGAGCCAGACCCCTAAGCCATTAGAATCAATAACTTATCATGTGTGCTTATATGGTCTTCCTCTGGAACTTTTTATTTTTTTATTTTTTTTATTTATTTTTTTTTTATTTTTTGACAGGCAGAGTGGACAGTGAGAGAGAGAGACAGAGAGAAAGGTCTTCCTTTGCCGTTGGTTCACCCTCCAATGGCCACCGCGGCCAGCGCACTGCACTGATCCGGTGGCAGGAGCCAGGAGCCAGGTGCTTTTCCTGGTCTCCCACGGGGTGCAGGGCCCAAGCACCTGGGCCATCCTCCACTGCACTCCCTGGCCACAGCAGAGGGCTGGCCTGGAAGAGGGGCAACCGGGACAGAATCCGGCGCCCCGACCGGGACTAGAACCCGGTGTGCCGGCGCCGCTAGGCGGAGGATTAGCCTATTGAGCCACGGCGCCGGCCCTTCCTCTGGAACTTGCTGTAGGCCACAGAGCTTCATCACACAGTAGCTAGATTACTGTGTTCAAATTCGGCTTTGCTACTTACCAGCTCTGTGACTTTGAATGACTTCCTTAACCTCTCTGAGTATTAGTTTCTCATTTGTGAAACGGGGATAATAATCATGCCTATCTGTCAGGATTCTCCTCTCTCTGTCTCTCCTATATAATTTTAGTTTTTCGTCTACATTGCTGCTGGTCTTCCCTGGACAGGGCAGAGTGGACAGTGAGAGAGAGAGACAGAGAGAAAGGTCTTCCTTTTGCCGTTGGTTCACCCTCCAATGGCCGTCACGGCTGGTGCGCTGCGGCCGGCGCACCACGCTGATCCGAAGGCAGGAGCCAGGTGCTTCTCCTGGTCTCCCATGGGGTGCAGGGCCCAAGCACTTGGGCCATCCTCCACTGCCTTCCCGGGCCACAGCAGAGAGCTGGCCTGGAAGAGGGGCAACCAGAAAAGAATCCGGCGCCCTGACCGGGACTAGAACCCGGTGTGCGGGGCCGCTAGGTGGAGGATTAGCCTATTGAGCCACGGCACCGGCTAGTTTTTGTTTACTTTTTAAGGGTGTATTTCTTTATTTGAAAGGCAGAGTTACAGATAGGAGAGGCAAAGAGACACACAGAGAGAGAGTTCTTCCATCTGCTGGTTCACACCCAAAATGGCCAGAGTTGGACCAGGCCAAAGCCAAGAGTTGTCGCTCCCCCTCTTCGTGGAGGAACGACACAGGACCCTGCGCTGTTCTTTCGTCTGCTCGGCCCTCCCCGGGTTTGCTGCTGGTTCTTCCCGGGTTGGCTACTATCCCTTCCACCTCCGTGGAAGGGCAGTTCCCCCTGGCCGCATTCCCCACTTCCGCAGGGGAGCGGCACACCGCCGGCCGGCTCTCTTCGGGGGCTGCACAGGTGTTCCTTCAGCTAGATGTTCCCCTTAGATGTTCCTGGTGCATGCCGTCTCCCTCCTCCTTTATAGTCCTCCTCTGCCAATCCCAACTCGGCTGCCCACACGCCGAGTACGCTGCTCTCCTCCAATCAGGAGCAAGTCCTACAGTTTATTGGTTGAACTGGAGGCAGCTGTGCAGAAGCTGTTTACTTCTCTCCCAGCGCCATATTGTGGGAGAGCAGATGCATAGAATAAGTCTTAATTCCAGTTAACTCAGTCTAGTCCGGATTGCTCCCCACAAAGAGTGAGGAGTTTCATCTGGGTCTCCCACATGGGTAAAGGAACCCAAATACTTGGGCCATCTTTCACTGTTTTCCCAGGCACATTAACAGCGATTACCCCTAAGTGGTATAATATTAAATAAATAATATAAAAATGTAAAATTATAAATATATTTCAGTTTCATGCATTTTCCAAAAGGGTTTTATGAAAAACTCTAAAAAAAAACAAACTCATATGTATATAATAACACTCATGTTTGTATAACTATATATATTTACATATACTTGTTATACATACATATTACAACAAACTAAGATAACATTCAAAATAATCTCTAGGGCCAGCATTGTGGTGTAGTGGGTTATGTTACTGCCTGCAATGCCAGCACCCCATACAGGCACTGGTTCGAACCCTAGCTGTTCCACTTCCCATCCAGCTCCCAGCTAATGTGCCTGGGAAAGCAGGAAAGGATGTCCAAGTACTTGGGCCCCTGCCACCCATATAGGAGGCCCAGATGGAGTTCTAGGCTCTCAGGCCATTGTGGCTGTTTTGGGAGTGAACCAGCAGTTGGAAGATCTCTCTCTCTCTCTCTCTCTCTCTCTCTCTCTCTCTCTTTCTCTGTAACTTTACCTTTCAAATAAATAAAAAAGAACTTAAAAAAAGAACTCTAAGGTATCATTTTATATCTGTTAAGCCACAGTAATTTTAAAACAAATATATATCTAATTTTGGCCATGTTAATATGAAAGTGGTGTATCCTTAAATTGCTGACACAAATATAAATTAACTCAGAGTTGCCAGAAAGCATTTTAGAAGTATATTTCACGAACTATTAAAAAGTCCACATCTTGACCCAAGAAATATCAATCTAACAGTTTCTTCTTATGAAGAAAATCAATATAGAGGAAAGTTTAAATGTACAAGGATACGGGGTGGGTGTTTGGTGTAGTGGTTAAGTTACTGCTTGGAACACTCACATCCCATATTAGAGTGCCTGGGTTCCAGACCCAGCTCCTCTGTTTCTGATCCAGCTTCTTGCTAATGTGCAGCTTGGAAGACACCAGGTGATGGCTGGAGAGAGTTACCTGCTACCCACATGGGAGACCTGGATTGAGTTCCAGGCTCCTGGCTTTGGCCTGACCCAGTGCTGACTGTTGCAGGTAATGGAGAATGAACCAGCAGATGAAGGATCTCTGTCTGATGCCTTTCAAACAGAATGAAAAATAAATAAGTTTTACAATCTATAAGGATATGAATTCAAATTTTAATAATTCTATTGTTCAAAATTAGTAAAATAGGAGGGAGCATTTGGTGCAGCAGTTAAGACACCCAGTTAGGACACCTGTATCCCATGTCAGAATGCCTGGCTCCACTCCTAATTCCAGCTTCCTGCTAATGTGCACCCTGGGAGGCAAGCTGGTGATGGCTCAAGTACTTGGGTTCCTACAGCTTGGATGGCAGATTTCAGTCAAATTCTTTGCTACTAGGCATTTTGAGAGTGAACTGGAAAATAGGAGCTCTAAATGTCTGTCTCTCTGCTTCTCAAATAATAAATTTTAAAAAAAGTAATGGTAAGATGGATAAAGAAGTGTTTTACCTCAAAATTACAAAAACATGAAAATTACTATAGTAGGTATTTGTTATAATAGTTAAGATGCTGCTTGAGAGTCCCACAAACCATAGTGGAATCCTGGAGTTCAAGTTCTGACTAATTCTAATTAGCTTCCTGCTAATGTGAGGCAGTAGTAATGACTCAGTTACTTGGGCCCCTACCACCCACATGGGAGACTCTGATTGAGTAAAATGAAAATAACTAGATATTTTTAAAAATAGACATAGGTTATGTGTGTCTAATTTAAAAAATGTATAAAAACACAGCAGGGACAGCATTGTAGCGTGGTGGGCTAAGCAGCCGCCTGTGATGCTGGTTCCATATCAGAGCAACAGTTTGCATCCTGACTGCTCCACTTCCAATCCAGCTCCCTTCTAACACACCTAGGAATGCAGCAGAAGATTACCCAAGTACTTGGACTCCTGCACCCATGTGGGAAATCCAGATGGAGTTCGTGGCTCCTGGCTTCAGCCTGGCCCAGCTTAACCATCATGGCCATTTGGGGTGTGAACCAACGGATGGAGGGTCTCTTTCTTTTTGTCAGTCTGTCTTTCAAATAGATAAAATAATAAAATCTTTAAAAATGCAAAAACTACATAGCACAGTGGAACTAAAATGCCAGGTTGAAAAGACAAAAGGCAGCATTAACAATAAATCTAGAGCCGGCGCCGTGGCTCAATAGGCTAATCCTCCACCTTGCGGCGCCGGCACACCGGGTTCTAGTCCCGGTTGGGGCGCCGGATTCTGTCCCGGTTGCCCCTCTTCCAGGCCAGCTCTCTGCTATGGCCAGGGAGTGCAGTGGAGGATGGCCCAGGTGCTTGGGCCCTGCACCCCATGGGAGACCAGGAAAAGCACCTGGCTCCTGGCTCCTGCCAGGATCAGCGCGGTGCGCCGGCTGCAGCGGCGGCCATTGGAGGGTGAACCAGCGGCAAAAGGAAGACCTTTCTCTCTCTGTCTCTCTCTCTCACTGTCCACTCTGCCTGTCTGGAACAAAACAACATAAACCAATGGAACAAGCAGAAAAAAACTGAACCCATGATTCTAGCCCGCGCCCCCGACTCATTAGGCTAGTCCCTCCACCTAGCGGCCCCGCATACTGGGTTCTAGTCCCGGTCAGGGCGCCGGATTCTTTTCTGGTTGCCCCTCTTCCAGGCCAGCTCTCTGCTGTGGCCCAGGAGCGCAATGGAGGATGGCCCAAGTGCTTGGGCCCTGCACTCAATGGGAGACCAGGAGAAGCACCTGGCTCCTGGCTTTGGATCAGCGCGGTGTGCCGGCCGCAGCGCACCAGCCGTGGCGGCCACTGGAGGGTGAACCAACGGCAACGGAAGACCTTTCTCTCTCTCTCTCTGTCTCTCACTGTCCACTCTGCCTGTCAAAAAAACAAACAAACAAACAAACAAACAATAAATCTAGG